GAGAGAGAGAGAGAGAGAGGTGCAAGTAAGAACAAAGTGAGTGCAGAGTCTGGATCTGTGCTCTTCTTCTTCCTCAAGGAAAACAGCCGGAGGGAGGAAGGAAGGACGAAGTGTAAGAGGACGTAAGAGAAAGAAAGAGAATGGGAAACAAGGAGAGTTCGAGGCCAGAGGAAGACATAGGGTATAAGGAGTCAAACAGCCTGGCCAGCATCCCTCCAGATAGTCCATTGGGGAGGATGCTGAAGGATTGGAAAGGTAATCCCTGCACCAGGCACAAGAATAAAAAGAAAATGGTGAAGTATTGTTGTTCGGTATGGACCAGGGAAAGTATCGGGCCGTCAACCGTCTTCTGGCCAAAGTATGGATCGGAAGAGGGCAGGCTGTGCCAGATGTTGAACATTTATGTCTTCAACAAGCTACCCTTCTGCGAGGAGGAATGTGATTACTCCTCTTGTTGGGAAGGAAGCGGCAACGTTGGCCTGTTCGACCATCCGACGACCACGGTGGGAGCTCCAAAGCGGGGGAAGGAGGGAGCCGAGCCTTGGGACTCTTCGACCCAAACCCTTTATGGACCCCAGGGACAGGAGGGCGCCCCCAGTCTGGCTGTGTGTTTAATAGACCAGGTGACTGTGGGACCGCGGACTCCACTAGAACTGGAACCAGAACCAAGTTCTAGTGACCCATCCCATCCAGGCTTGAGAAGGGAGGTGGGACCGTGTCATTGGAAACCCTGGGACTTTGTGCCCCCATCCATATATCAGGGAGGGGAGGAAGCCCCCCGCCTGGCTGCGCATTTAACAGACCCGGAAAGAGGTCAGGCCACTGTGGGACTGTCGAGTCCAGTAAAACCGACGTTGGATTCTATTCAACCATCACATCCAGGTTTGAGAAGGGAGGTGGGACTGTATAAAAAGCCTTGGGACCCCCAGGACTTTGGACCCCCACCTCCATATCAGGAAGAGGAGGAAGCTCCCAGTCCAGCTGTGCATTTAATAGACCCAGAACGAAGCCAGGCCACTGTGGGACCGTCGACTCTGGTTAAACCGAAGTTGGGCTCTAGCGGACAATCCCATGCAGGCTCGAGAAGGAAGGGAGATAAAAAGGGTGTCCCAAATAATTTTCCCTTCCCAGACAAAAATAGGGAAAGCTCCTCTGTGGGGCGGCAGGACCGATCCAACGAGGAAAGGTTCCTTCCACGTCAGAGGCCAATAAGCAGTAGACCACCTGCCTTTGTCGAAGAGCCCTTGACCAGTAGTGAAGTTATGAGTTTCAAGCAAGAGATGAAATCCCTCACTGAAGACCCCGCTGGCCTAGCGGAACAATTGGACCAGTTCTTAGGATCCAACCTTTACACTTGGAACGAAATGATGTCGATTTTAAGCATCCTCTTTTCGCGAGAGGAAAGAGAGCTGATCACAGAAGCGGCCTTAAAGGAATGGGAGAAGCGCCATCCTCCAGGAGTTGGGGCCACGCCGGCGGAGGACAAAGTCCCTAAAGTGGACCCTGGGTGGGTCACTACAAATCCGCTTCACAGAATCTATTTGGGAAACTTCAGGAAGCTTATCATCCAAGGGATCCGGGAGGCTGTCCCAAATAATATGAATAAAGTCTTGGAGATATCCCAGGGAAAGGAAGAATCTCCGTCGGCCTTTTTAGAAAGGCTGAAAGACCAAGTGAGGAAGTGTTGTGGCAAAAATGCGGAGGAGCCCGTAGTAGAGGATTTCCTAAAGGTTCAATTTGTCACAAAGGCCTGGCCAGATATCAGAAAGAAAATCTTAGAAACGGAGGGCTGGAGTTATAAAACCTTAGCGGACCTGCTCCGAGAAGCCCAAAAGGTTTTTGTGAGGAGGGAAGAAGAAGAACTGAAGAAGAAAGCAAAAATGTTGGTGTCCCTTGTCAACCAAGTCGTGAAGGAAACGATGGAGCCAGCACCGCACAGAGGAAGGGGATCGTGGGTGAGAAGCAGGGGAGGACCAGGGAGAGGGAGAGGAGGAGCTCCGGGGCCAGGTCCAGACCCTTTTGGGCAACCCTGCTGGACGACCTCGCAGGCAGGGCGTTTCCATTACGGAAGGGGTGGGCCTTTGAAGTGGGCCCCTCCTGAACTAAATCAAAAGGTGTGGGACCAGAAAAAAGTCAAAACGACGGGTCCTTTAGCAAAGGATCAATGTGCCATCTGTAGAGAAAGAGGGCACTGGAAAAATGAATGCCCTAGAGGAAGGAGGGGAAGGAACTAGCAAAATGGCTGAATTTTAAGAATAAGGGGTGTCGGGGTTGCGGGAGGGGCACTTATTTTCTGGTCCGGCTTTTCAAGCACGCCTGATCAACCTTAAAGTTACAGAATAACAGGATAACAAAGTTAGAAGAGACCTGGAAGTCTTCTCGTCCAACCCCACCTTGCTTAGGCAGGAAACCCTATACCACTTCAGACAAATGGCTGTCCAATCTCTTCTTAAAAACTTCCAGTGTTGGAGCATTTACAACTTCTGGAGGCAAATTGTTCCACTGATTAACTGTTCTAACTATCAGGAAATTTCTCCTTAGTTCTAAGTTGCTTCTCTCCTTGATTAGTTTCCATCGGTTACTTCTTGTCCTGCTTTCAAGTGCTTTGGAGAATAGCTTGACTCCCTCTTCTTTGGGGCAGCCCCTGAGATATCGGAAGACTGCTATCCTGTCTCCCCTGGTCCTTCTCTTCATCAGACTAGACACACCCAATTCCTGCAACCGTTCATTGTATGTTTCGGCCTCCAGTCCCCTAATCCTCTTGGTTGCTCTTCTCTGCACTCTTTCTAGAGTCTCAACATCTTTTTTATAATCGTGGCAACCAAAACCGAACGCAATATTCCAAGTGTGGCCTTACCAAGGCATTATGAAGTGGTATTAACACTTCACTTGATCTTGATTCTATCTTTCTGTTTATGCAGCCAAGAACTGTGTTGGCTTTTTTTTTTATAATGCAGCCTAAAACTGCGTTGGCTTTTTTCTGATCAAGTCAGGGGTGCCAAAGTGGTCATTAGTTGCCGCTTAATGTGGGTGCCAAGGAGGGGAAAGGGAACCTTTGTGGAGAACCAATTTGGTCTCGTGGTTACGGCCACAGGCTACAAGGCTGGAGAGAACTGTGAGTTCAAATCCTGCTTTCACCAGGAGGGCCGGTTGAATGTTTTTGTCTGGTTTATTTCCACCACCACCACCTTCTCTTCAGGAAAGCTTTGGTCGGCCACTTCTGTAAATGTTAATGGCAATTTTCTTCCTGTTTTATCTTTCGAGGGCTTAGTGCTCTGAAACGAAAATAACTGGTTTCTGAAACTCTGAAAAGTTTTGCATAAACTATTTTTACTCTGCCGGGCTCAGGGCAGGGGGAAGCAATTGTTTGTTTTCTCAGCTATCCTGTTGCTTCTTTGATGGGCTCCTCCAAGAATGATTTGAATATTATCGGTGAAGCCTGCGAGCTTTAACTTTTAAAATCCTGAATGTGTTCTTTACAACAAGTTTATTAAGATAGATAGATAGATAGATAGATAGATAGATAGATAGATAGATAGATAGATAATAGATTAGATGGATGGATGGATGGATGGATGGATGGATGGATGGATG